GATGTCCGGGGGGGAGAGAAAAGGCTCCCGCTGTGATAAAAGTGACCTCGCCACTAGTTTTTGGAGGGGACTACTTGCCAGCCTTTTACCCTGTGACTATGGCCCCCGCCCCTGCAATAGAACTGGTTAATATACTTCAAACCTTATCCGGGGGCCGGCCGAGGTCCTCTATTCCCGCCGGGCGCGGCTTGCTCAGGGCTCAGATGACGGCGGGCACTGACCGCAAGATGCGGTCACGTGTCCCGCCTAGATCTAAGAGCGCGGCTCGGGCACGCTCTTAAAGGGACAGTGGGAGCCGAAAACTAAAACGGTCTCACATTGGCCCCTGTCATCCCACATTCCCCATACACTCACATTTAGGGGGCGTGGATATGACAGGGGCCAATCAAATTAAATGCTAGGGTATTTATACTTACCTCTCCCTTAACTCCCTGCCCTATCGTGGTTTCTGTTTCAGTTCCCTTTAGTACTTGTGTTCAGTTGTGATTTTTTCATACTTGACCTTGGCTTTGTATCTGACTCCGTTTATCTCTTTATCCCTGTTTTGTCTTGTTTGCTGGCTTACTGATTACTGTGTACCAGACCTTGGCTAGTTCTTGTTTTCGCTGTCTCTTTGTATCCTTGACCTCGGCTCGTTCCTGACTCTGTCTTTCTCTGCTCTACGTTGAGTCCGGCCATTCTAAGGTCCAGTAAGACGTATCTGCTCTATCTTGTCAATTGTTGGACTAAATCTTGCGTGTTGGGGTATACTACCGTGACACAGGCTCTGTTTGACCGCACAGACAGAGACCACCCTGGAGCTTGTTAACACCTATTAACATCTTGGAACGTTTCTTACCGCAGTGTTCTAATGGTTCGTCTGGGTGGCCGCGATTCCTATGAACAACCACGAGGTGGGCATTTGGGCATGAATCTCATGGAACTGAAATCGGATACAGAAACTCCCGAACACCACTGGACTTCCATTATCGCCTGAGTTCGTTTCTATTCAGCTGTTCGGTGAGATCATTCGTCTGGATGAAGGGAACAAGCTCCAGGGTAAGACTATTGACTCAGTTCGGTAGTTTGCAAACAAACAAACTACACCGGCCGCAAGCCCTGATTCCCTGGAATTGTTTTGGGCATGAAACCATGTGTGCTGTCGGTCAAAAAGAGACTTCCAGGAATTTCCTGAATGCTCCCCTTGGTTGGCGTTCGTCTATACGAATGGTGGCCAACAGGGAAGCATGCATTAATTACTTCCCTTGCAGTTTCACACTTATGTTGCAAGTGTTAATGTTCTAATTGATTGGTGTGAACATTCCAATGGGGCACCTGGAAGGTCCTCATTCAGAAAGAGCCCAGCGCCCGAATGACTGGGAGCCTTCCCCCTGGACCTCAAAGCACTCCTCCTGAGACTTACACCCCTAACCACTGAACCGTGGCACCTCTCATCCTGGCTAGGTGAGCCACAACACATCCTTTTCTGGCCTGCTCCGTAGATGGCTCCTGGAGTGATGGCGCGATCTCCACCCGCCAGCCCTGTTGTAGACAGAGGAACTTGGGGACCTGGCATCCATATCCTGAGTGCGGCAGGGCTTGCCCATCCATGTATTGTTATTTCGCACTACCCCTGGCCGTAGGGGACGCCCTGCTGTGGCTGGCGGTGACATCGCTGCCTGTCACCTAGTCATTAGCTGGGTGCTCCGCTCTTATGCCTGGAGCTGCCGCACTGTGGGAGGAGATGCATAGGACCCCTCATACTCCTTCCGTTTCCTACTGGGTGCCTGGGACACTGCTTCCCCTACCCTGGAGCCTCCCTTTCCTCGTTGGCCAAGCCCCTTGTGGCTGCATCACTCTGAACAGAACCTGGCTGGGTAGGGGGCCCCCTGACCTCTCTCCACAGCGGAACACCAACAGAACCCCTGCTAGGCAGAGGCCAACTCACCCAGCCCTCCTGAGCCTGCATCCTGCTGCTCCACCTTCCTGGCAGCGCCCCCTGTGATCCCGGGGACTGGCGCTGCCGACATCCATGACGTCCCACCGACCGCCGCAATGGAACTCCTCCCCCGACCACCTCGCAGCCGGGCCCAACTGTCACCACTCTCCATCCTGGCTTCAGGCACTTGCCGCATGGGGCTTGGGCTCCCTGCCCACCGTAGTCCCACTGCAGTTATAGGACTCAAGAGTTGCAGCACGGCACGGCGGCCTCCATGCTTGGGCTGCATGTGCAGCTGCTCCTCTTGTCAACGTCCCCAGGGGCGTTGTCAGGGGCGGAGCCAAGCCTTTGATGGAAGTGGACGTGTGAGTCCTGAACTCCCTCTCCCCTGAGCACTGAATCCACATCCATCAGCGTTTATTATACACCATCTAACTTCAAAAATCGTATACAACTACAGGAGACCTTCGTTACCACCCTTTTGAAACATGGGGGGCAACAAAAAGTGTAAGGATATGCCACAATTGGTGGCCATGCTATTTTGGAACCGAGAGCAGGGGCGGCCATCTCTCACCCAAGGCCTACCTGAATCATGTTCAGACAACAAGGACTACAAGGCACCTGATGACCCCATGGCCCCCCTCACCATGGGTGACCTGCAGAGGTTGCTTAAAGAAACCTCGGCTGATATCATGGCCCACACCGCTGCTGAACTTGAAAAACAAATAACGGGGCTCAAAGATGACCTCAAGGCCCTCACCTTGCGCACAAGTCAGGCTGACCACCACATTACAGGCCTTGCCCAAAAATCGCAGGCCCAACACCAAGAGATG